ATGCGTCCAGACGTTGTTTTAGGACTTTTTATGAACCAGGCCATTTGTCATGGCATGTGAGGATGACCTGGGGAAGACTGGGCAAGGGAGGCTGTCAAGGGAATGGTCAGATAAGAGGCAGCATTAGCCACAGCTGGATAGTGGGCAGGGCGAGGGGCTCAGAAGGGACCCTCTCTAATTCCTCACAGTGTAAAGGAAGCACTGGGAGATTTGGACTTTCAGACTTGCAAGATTCTGTTAAAGCAGCCGTACAATAAAGTAGAATTAGCTTATTTGATTGTGTTTCCTACTTGGCCCATTTGACACCCCTACAGTGAGCCAGATTATACCCTACACGGTGGAGGGTATAGTCTGTAGCTGTCTTCCAATATATCAGGGGCTGCCACAAAGAAGAGGAGGGGGTCAACTTATTTTCCAAAGTACCAGAAGGCAAGACAAGAAACAATGGATGGAAACTAATCAAGGAGAGAAGCAACCTGGAACTAAGGAGACACTTCCTAACAGTGAGGACAACTAACCAGTGGAACAGCTTGCCTCCAGAAATTTTCACTGCTCCACTGGAGGTCTTTAAGAGGAGACTGGACAATCACTTGTCTGAAATGGTAGTGGGTCTCCTGGTTGATCAGGGGTTGGACTAGAAGACCTCCAAAGTCTCTTCCAGCTCTATTCCGATTCTGATTCTGAGGGCCATCATATCTTCCATGAAGACGACAACTGTGCTTTAATCTTTATCAATGCAGTGTGAATGCCTGGAATCCCTGCTTGTCCATCTCCTGGCCTTGGAGAGTTGAGAAACGCAGAGGCTGCTTCCTACATTTGGGAGACAAGTAGGCTCAGTGACCTCACATTGGTCCTCTAGCCCCCCCCTCCACCCCCCCAAAATCACTGGCACTGGCATGCCCACCGTTTTACAAATTGCCACCCTAAAAAAGCCTGTGTCTATTTAGAGATCCCTCTCCACGATGAAGTTGGCGTTTGCCACACAAGATAATGAGAGCTTTGCGCCGGGAAGGTGTGTGCACCTGGGACTGGCTCCAGATGGGCCCCTCCCCTCTGGGGTCTAATTGGGGTAGAAGCCAATGCAGGTGTGAACAGAGAGGCTGCTTTGCTGGCACCCCAGTTGGATTGGCTCCCAAGGCGCGTGGCTGTGTCGGAGAGAGAGGAAGGATCTGGGCTTTTATCGGCATCAGGAAGTATTTATCGCAGACCTCTGCCTGCCAAAAGCTCTGCCGACAACTGACAGCTTGTGTGGCTTCATAAGCAGCTCTGTGCAAAGACCCAGAAGAGAAGGAGCAGCCGCGGCCCCCAGGACCCCCAATTTCTCAGCACCCCTGGCTTTTGGGGGGGTCTTCAGCTTCCCAGGGGTCTCAAGTTGGCCTGTCTTGGAAGCCCACTTGGGACCTTTGGCACACCAAACATACCTTAATGTGTTTTGTACATTTTTTTAAGGCTCCAGGCTAGAAACCAGGAGACAGCGAGTTCTAGTTCCAGTCTCAGATACGAAAGCCACTGGGTGACTTTGGGACAGTCAATCTCTCTCTCAGCCCAACTCCCCCCACAGGGTTGTTGTTGTGGGGAAAATAGGAGGAGGAAGGAGTATTAGCGGTGTTCGCCGTCTTGTGTTGTTTCTAAAAATAATAAAGGCAGGATATAAATTAAATAAATAGAATACAGAGAAGAGCAACAAAGATGATTAAGGGTCCGGAGGCTAAAAGATATAAAGAACGATTGAAGGAATTGAGTATGTCTAATTTAGTGAAAAGAAGGACTGGGGGGGGGGGGAAACAGGATAGCAATATTTCAACATTTGAGCATCTGTCACAAAGAAGAGGCAGTCAACCTAATCTACCATTGCAATCCACTGCCAAGCCACTGCATTTTCCAAACCATGGCTTATGGTTTAAGTCTGATGATTGAATGCAGCCTAGTTTAATGAAAAGAAGGGTGACATGATAGCAGCCTTCCAATATTTGAGGGGCTGCCACAAAGAAGAGGGAGTCAAGCTATTCTCCAAAGCGCCTGAAGGCAGGACAAGAAGCGACGGATAAAAACTAATCCAGGAGAGAAGCAACCTAGAACAAAGGAGGAATTTCCTGGCAGTGAGAACAATTAACCAGTGGAACAACCTGCCTCCAGAAGCAGTGAATGCTCCAACACTGGAAGTTTTCAAGAAGAGACTGGACAGCCACTAGTCTGAAATGGTACAGGGCAGGGGTCCCCAACCCCCGGGCCATGGACCAGCACCGGGCTGCAGCAGAACAGTAACCAGGCCACGCAAACAAGCAAAGCCCCACCTGCAGGATGCAGGTCCATGGAAAAACCTCTCTCCACAGAACCGGTCCTTGTGCCCAAAAGATTGGGGGCCACTGGTATAGGGTTTCCTGCCTGAGCAGGGGGTTGGACTAGAAAACTTCCAAGGTCCCTTCCCACTCTGTTATTCTGTTATTCTGAGTTAATCTCCTTTGTTTTATGTGATGATGCAGTAATGGCCAGAAGGTGGTTGTAACATTCTTTGTCTGTGCCAAACCAAGTTAGAAGTGCATGAGAAATAAAAGCCCCACAACTGAGCATGACAGGGGTCTTCAGGTCGCCTGCAAAGGCCACCCTGAGATTACGCCTGCCTGGCTGCAAATGAAGCTGTCGCGGCTTGTCCCCCAACACAGCCCCTCTCCCCTTCCAAACCTCGCTGATAAGAAGGAGGCAAAAACCACTTTTCTCAGCTTCTTCCTCCCCTTGGGTTGCCTATCACGTTGTCCTCTCTCAAAAACCAAACTCCACCTCACAAGTGGAAAACTGACACGTAGAAATGCTGCAAGATTTCATGAGGCAGAGACATTTGGAGTGCTGGTTCCCCCCTCCCAATGGTTTTCTTTCATTGGATGCCACGAAAATTGGTTTCAAAATGTGTTGCCAGTATTTTTTGAGGGGGGGGGAGATCTTTTCTGGACCGAAAGGACATTACTCAGTGGCAGCTCTAACTTTGGACACCTCCCTGGAGTGACCCCGTTCTGCATGGAACCACATTTAGCCTTTGGGATGAAGGCAATTGGCGTCGCTCCCCCATCCCCAGTTTCCTCGCAAACATAATCATGGACAGTTCATTTCTGGCATGCAAATGAAGTCACAATTGCTTCTCATTTTCCTTTCCCTTCCCCCCCCCCTCTTTCATTCTTTAAAGGCAGCGCAGATTTGTGGCTACCTCGTAATGTTGTGCTGCTGCTAATGAATTGCTAATATAATTTTCTAGATAATTTTATTTTTTACCTTTCTCCGAAAGAGTCTTCAGAAAGCCGCCGTTTACTCGCTTTATTCTTGCCAGGGTGATGTGATTTTTACTGTTTCGTATGGTTCAAGATACTCAACTATGCATCAAGTAAGAGAAATGGGTCTTATGGTGCAAAAGATCACACTGGGTGTTTCGTACTGTATCAGCCATGTGTAACAATTGAAATGGGGGCGGAAGAGATTTGTCACCTCTGCGGACACAGAGCGAAGAAGCGTCTTGAGTCAAGTGGCTGTAGATACTTGCCTGGGGTTTCTCCAAGGATTCATAAGCAGGAGACTAAAGTCCAAATGTTGACCCCCATCCTTGTAGTGACTGAACACATCCAGACACCCCTGCACAATTTGTGTGGAAGCTGTTGGAGGTTGTGCTGAGCTGGCAGTGAGGATGAGGGATGCTTCCTTCTGATCTGGCTTCACACGCGTGTGTCTCAAGTGAGGGAGACGCTTGTGGAGACAGATCAGAAGGGACACAATCAGGTGTTCAGGTGGCACCGGGTCTTTCCCAGCTGTGAAAATGTTTCCAACTGAGCCGGGGGGGGGGATTCCTGCTTCAAAGAGAAAAGCATTGTCTGAAGCTGCCCATAATGCTCAGGAAGACCCCATAAATGTCCTTGATTCCCCCAAACCGTGGAGACCAAGATGGGTCCTGCCCACCCACCCCAGAAAGATAATTTTCAGAATATTTGGGAGTTCAGGTTTTGAGAGCCATGTGAAGAAAGTCCTGATTCTTTTGGAGTTAAATGCAGAAGTTTTTCCAGCAGTAGTTATTGTTGTTTTTTAAAAAAATTTACATTTCCAAAATAATCTCTGGTTTGCCTCTGGATATGTGGGAAGCCCATTAGAGAAACCATCTCTTCTCAATTTCAGATGGTGAAATTACACATCTACCCTATGAATATGCTTGCATTTCTTATTTTCCGTCTCTCTTTAATTTACCTACTATTTCATTTTATATTATTCTGTTCTAATTTGCTCCCTAACTAGTATAATAATCAGGTTTCATTAGCGAAGGGGAGAGGAATGTTTAGTTAATAAGTTCCTTTGATTGTTGCCTTTGATAGAATTCAATATATTAAAAGTCACAACCTTCGCTACTATAGTCTTCTTGCAAGGAAGTTGTGTTGTGAAAACTTGCTTGTATTCCATGCTGTAAAACAGGTAGGCAGGCAAGTAGATAGGTAGGTAGGGGGTGGGGGGGATAGATGGATGGACGGACGGACACAAAGACAAATAAATAAAGAGATGAAAACTCTGAATGCTGAATGTCCTCTTGAGTCAAGTTTGCATAATTTCATTTCTCCCAAGAGGGGAACAGGCCATGTTCTCTGCATGTTGTGTGAAGGTCAACCATGGAGAGAAAAGGTTCTTTAGTGACAGAAACTCTTTTTTCACAAATTTGTGAAAACCTGCCTGATCCATACATAATTCTTATCCTTTTCCCAGATCATCAAAATTAGAAGAAACTATGAAGATAGGTGATGATTGAAAACTAATTTGCAAAGTCTTCCTGATTGGCTTTGCTGTTCAGTCCAGGTAGCAATTACTGAAGGTTGTGACCGATGGACATGTTGGCCACTGTCTCCCTTTCCCTGGCCATTCACCAGGAATTGTCCATGTCGGAGACACAGGGAAGAGAAGCCTGAGGATACAGGCCTTCTGCCCACCTGGCCAGGTATTTCTTCTGGAGGTGACCTTCCATTTCCCTCTTCCTCCAGGCTCAGACATGGCCGTCTTCTGCCTGCTCTGCGGGAAACGCTTCCAAACGCAGACAGCCCTGCAGCAGCACATGGAAGTGCATGCTGGTGTGCGAAGCTACATTTGCAGCGAGTGCAACCGCACATTCCCCAGCCACACGGCCCTCAAAAGGCACCTACGCTCGCATACAGGTAAGCAGGATGGGCTGCCTGGGAAACGTGCCCGGACAATGGTGGGCATGAGGGTGAGGTTTAACCATCTGGTTCTGATGAGCAGCACAGGGCGCATCATGGCTCCACCAGTGCTTCTCCTTCAAATATACCTTTAAGGCCAGGGAATTCTGGGAGTTGCAGTCCACGCATCTTAAAGTTGCCGAGGTTGAGGACCATTGCTTTGGCCAGTCCTCGCTTCCCAAAAAGGGAAGGGCCAGTGCTTGCTTGGAAGTGGGGCAGGCTGCTCATTTACCCATTGGTGTTCATCCTTCCTGCTCCCCTCCTTGCTGCAACTAATACAGAAAAACCACCCCAGACCTTAAACGTTCACCTGCTGTGGATGGGTGCGTCATTTGAGTGGGTCCTTGGCGATCTGTCCTCGGAAGACACTGTCCCAAAATATCTCAGGATGCTGTGAGCTTTTAAAAACAATGCGATTTCAAGGAGTAGAATCTATTTGTTCATTCTCAGCTCCAACTTCCTGGACAAGGATCAGATAAGATTTGAGCCATTTTGAATTGTGTCTCTGCATTATGCGCGTTCGAGGGCACCCTCCAGGAGATGCCACAGCTGCTGCAGCACAGCAGACATGGCTTGGCTGAACCTAATCATAACAGATGCACCAGCCAATTTTAGCACAAATCACATTTGTATGTGTGTGTGTGTGAGAGAGAGGGGGGGAGGGAAGGAAAGAGAAAGAAAGGAAGGAAGGAAGGAAGGAAGGAAGGAAGGAAGGAAGGAAGGAAGGTAGGAAGGAAGGAAGGAAGGAAGGAAGGAAAGAGAGAGAGGGGGGGGGAGGGAGGGAGGGAGGGAAGGGAAAGAGAGAAAGAAAGAAAGAGAGAAAGAAAGAAAGAAAGAAAGAGAGAAAGAAAGAAAGAAAGAAAGAAAGAAAGAAAGAGAGAGAGAGAGAGAGAGAGAGAGAGAGAGAGAGAGAGAGAGAGTGTTAAGGGTATGATGTCCTGGATTGCTGTCCTCTAACTACTGAAAGCAGTCTTAGGGCTCACTGCACCTGTTGGACTGCAGCTCCCTTTGCCTTCGGCTGCCCTTTGCCCTCTGCAAAGAGCCTCATGTGGGCTGATTCCTCTTCCGTCTCCTCCAGCTGTTGGCTTCCCGAGGGGCATCCTAAGCCTCAGAGCTGCCTTTGGGGGCCAGGCCAGGCCAGATCCTGGCGCTGACAGATCCCTGATTCATTTGGCTAGTTGGGTAATAAAACCAGGTTGCTGCACCAGCGAGGTGGTGAGCTCCCGCTTTGAGGATTGGCTGCCTCCCTCCACCAGGTAACAAGAGATTGGGAGGTGGAGGGGGGAGACTGGGTCCCAGGTGCAGCCCACCAGCCAGAGGGGGCTATAATTAGTCCCGCTTGTCCTGGACTTAATGTCAACCTCATTAAGTGGCCTTGCAAAGTGAATCAACGAGCCATAAATTGGATCTTTTTTTAAACGAAAAAACAAAAGGACCAACAATCAGGGGTTTGTGTACAGTAGACAAAGAATCAGCCCCGTCTTCCGGCTTCTGAGAAGCTTGTCAGGCCAGCTGTTCTTGGCTAGACCAGGAGAGGCCAGATTTAAACCTGCTAACACGGGCCTGGCACGCTCCGCTGAATTTCCCAAAGAGGCTTCTGCGAGATATTAGCCCCTGGCTGAGCCTCGGGAGCCTATTCTAAATAACCACAAGCTGGGAATAAAAAATATTTCTGAGCACTTTGAAAAGCTCCCCACCCAGGGCAGGCGGTGGGAAGAGGTGACTTCGGTGGCAGCTGAGCATCATCAAGGCTCAGAGTGGCTTCCTCTGAAAAATTAATTTGACAGATCTGTTGTCACTCCCAACAGAGATGCATAGAGGGGGCTGTTGCTGCATGGAGAGTTTGTGTGTGTGTGTGTGTGTGTGTGTGTGTGTGTGTTTCCTTTTCTCTCCAGGAATAAGAAGTTTAGGAGCACAAAAACTGTGAAACAAGGGAAAGGCAGCAGCAGAGGCAGAGTGACCATTGAAGGTGCTTTAAAAAAGCCAAGATGGTGGATGCCCTGTGTGATACCCAAACAGTAAAACCAGGGTGAAGTTCACATACCACGACTGCAGCCTCCATCTTGACTTTTCTGACCTCACCCTGTGGACACCCCTCATCACAAGCAGAATTCCAGAGTCTTTACAGCCACATGGAATCAGGTGTGCCTGCTCCTGGAAAGTTAGTTGAAGCCATTCCCATTTTACAAGGAGGGAAAACTGAGGCTGAGAATTCAAAGGAAGAATCTCTAGCCATGAGGGAACCAACACTTTACCTTTGCTCCAAACCCAACAGATTTCCTGGGTCAGCTCCGGAGCCAACTTCTTCTCCCCTCCTGCAAACTAGTTTTCGTTTGGTATCAGAAATAGAGAAACAGAGCAGCTTTTTCAGAAGCGAGGAGGAGGAGGAGGAGGAGGAGGAGGACAGAAAGGGAGCAGAATATCCTGGGCCCGAGGAAGTGGAGGCAGCCGCCTGCGAGTCTATAACAAGGAGGAGAATTTATGCTCAGGCACGAGTTGGATTTGACATGGGGATAATGAAAAAGCGTAGGTCATTGTGGATGACTTAAGCTTTCAGCAACGGAGGAAAATGTATGAAATGGGAGCAGCATTACACGCTTGGCGGCTCCGCACATCTGCAGCGGGACAAGTGAAATACAGTGGGGCCATTCTTTACCATAAACTTGTGGCCATCGGATTTGCCGAGCCTGGAGAAGATTGTAATTACACTGACAAGACAAATCAGCAATATTTAAATATTCATGAACAAAGTCTGGGGTGATCAATCTATCTTTATTGTCCTTCCATTCGGCTTCTGTAATAAATATTTTTTAAAAGTGAGGGAATAGGAGTTGAAGCTGCTCCCTCCCTGCTTCTCCCCCCCCCCCTGAAGAAGGAGTCCTGAGATTTGGAAGGGAGAGGTTGGTGCTCAAATCTGGATCTTCTCAGCCATGGTCACCAGAAACAAGCTGAAGGGGTGAACAATTCACTGAGAACTTCTCCTGGGCAGCTGCATGGATGGAGAGCAGCAGAAGACACCAAAAGAACCAACATCCCTGGGTGAAAAAGCTTTCCATATTCCACAACCTGTTGACTAGTTACTCCAGAAATAAGGTCTATCTCAAGAAGAAGACAAGTCATTCCCTGAGGTGGCCCAGAATCTGGTTTGCTTTTTTTTTTACTCGTGCTTCCATCCCACAGTTCTTCAGATACCACCTTGTACTCAAAGGTCTACTAAAGCACATCTCCATCCCACATGGAGATCCCTAGTCCTCGTGATCAGACTCTCCAACAGGACCACAGTAAGCCATCCTGGCTTCTGAACCTTCAGGGTAGATCTAATTTTTCACCCCTTTTTTATTATATTGTTATAAATTTTGAGATGTATTCTTTCATCACAGTGATGTTTTTACAACCATAATTGAATATTATTGGCATTCTGTTATTTAGATAACTTAGATTGTTGCAGATAAAGCAGAAGGAAAAAAACTACACTATCCATATTAGTTACAATTTAGGATGTCAACATTACAAGCATAAAATTATTTTGTCTTTTCTACCCGAAGTTGAATATAACATTGAATAAAGAACCACTGCAAATTGCTTCTAAGTATTCGTTGCACAATAAAGATTTCAATTGTAAGCTAATTACTTAGTATTACAGTCTGAGGGGTCCTTGGTGTTCTCTGAGCTTGGTTGTTTTCTTGCAGACGTTTCATTACCCAAACTAGGCAATATCATCAGTAACATAGTCCCTAGCACTCATTTCAAATCTTTATATTCTCCTTCATTAGTATGGAAGTTTATAGGTACTGCATGTGTGTATTAAATAAATGAAGCAAATTTAGTAGAATTCCAAAATTGGGGGTGGGGAGGACAAATGAAATGAAAAAAAAAATCATTTCACCTCTGAGAAGAACCTCACCTTCTGGGTTCCTTGGGAAGATGTGGCTTGTTTCCACTTCACCCACAAAAGTGATCAAGCCCACCTTTTTGGTCTCCACCATAGACTCACCTCATTAGCAACATGCTGAGGTCTCTGCACATCTCTAGACTCTTCCTCACCACTTTTAGAGTTGGCAAGGCCTTTTCTAGATAGGCCTCTCAGCCATAAAAGGAGATTTTCTTGGTAGCCATTCTGCTTTCCTATAGGCTCTAGGTTTCAAGCCCAGGAAGGCTCCCCTCATAAGCATGGCGACTTCAGAAAGCTCATTGGGACAAATTTTACTATGGTCCTTCTGGAAGATTTCTAGAATCAGTTCCAGAAGATCAAGGTTGAAACCCTCTTGGAGATTATCTTACTCCTCGTTAACCAAAGTTGTTTGGGGATTGTAGAAGATTGAAATCTGCCCTATGGAGTGAGGGAGTGGGTCAGTTCTTCAGTCTTTGGAAACCATTCCACTGGACTAGAGGTTCTTCTAGGTAGAGTCCCATGGTCCAATGGGATAGGTAGACAAGGATGCAGGCTTTATACATGGGCATTGAAAGTTTCTGCATCCCACTGTCACATACTTATGGAGATGGGAGGGAAGAGACTAACTTTGAAATGTCAGGAAAGAGCTTTGAGGCATGTCCTTCTCTTCCCACTTGGTCATCATGACTCAAGCTTTTGGGCACTGAGGATCAATGGGCCAAGATCTCTCTTCCTTTGCTTCTGTCAGAGGTGGTAGAAGTTTCCCCTTTGCTGGACTCTCTCCTGCCCAGATTTCCAAAATGACCCTGACCATCCACCAGGCCTTGGAGGCACGTCCTCTACTAAACGATAGCTTAGAACCTCCTGACCACCCTAGAGGTCGGTTGACCATCTCCAGCCTCCCTTGTGGCCTCCTTGCTGAAGCCACCCGCCTGCCCTTTGTGTGCCCAGGAGCTGCACCTTGTGGGCAAGCGTGGACTTGGTCTCTTGGCCCACAGATGGCTTCCCTCTGACCCTACTGTCTTGGCTGCAGGCGACCATCCGTACGAGTGTGAATTCTGCGGGAGCTGCTTCCGAGACGAGAGCACTTTGAAAGGACACAAGCGCATCCACACCGGGGAGAAGCCCTACGAATGCAACGGCTGCGGGAAGAAGTTCAGCCTGAAGCATCAGCTGGAAACCCACTACAGGGTCCACACGGGTAAGGGGAAGCCCAGCCCGCAGGAGGCAGTTTTTCCTCCGGCAGCTTCTATATCATGGCGTTGGGCGCTGGCGGCCTGCAGCTTTTGTAAATAGCAGATCAATATTTAGATTGCTTTTTCTGTTCATTACTTCATTATTCGCTCTGCCTGGGCATGGAATGGGTATTGATACTGAGGAAAACCAAGGCTGTTAATTACTGCACTGAAGGAAGCCTCCTCGCCTTTCGACCACAGCTGCTGCCTGCAGTATCTGGAGATGCTTCCTGAGAGGGACCACTAGCCCAGCTGGCTCTTGCCGGGGAAGCTGGCTGCAGGATTAACCCCTGACTGGTCAGCGTAAGGAAGGCCCAAGACCAGGAGGCCATTCTCATTCTGAAGGCCACTTCCCTAGCTCTGGGGGGGTTCCAGGAAAAAGGGTTCCCTGAGCGTGATTGCAATAATTGAAACATTCCCCCCCCATATTCTCTCCTCCTCCTTTCCTTTTTCCTCCTCCTCCTCCCCCCTTTCCACTTTCTTCTCTTATTTCTCCTTCCCCTACATCTCCTCCTCTTTTTTCCTTTCTCCTCCTTCTCCTTCTTCTGCTCTCCCTCCTCCTTTTCCTCTTCCTCCTCCTCATCTTTTCTCTCTCCTTTCTTCTTCCCCTTCTCCTTCTCCTCTTTCTCCTCCTCCTTCTTTTCCTCCTCTTCCTCTTTTCTCTCTCCTTTCTCCTTCTCCTCCTTCTCCTTCCTCTCTCCTCCTTTCCCCTTCTCCTCTCCCCCTTCCTTCTTCTCCCACTCCACAGGCGAGAAGCCGTTTGAGTGCAAACTCTGCCACCAGCGGTCCCGAGATTACTCCGCCATGATCAAGCATCTCAGGACCCACAACGGAGCCTCCCCCTACCAGTGCACCATCTGCCTGGAATACTGCCCCAGCCTTTCCGCCATGCAGAAACACATGAAGGGCCACAAGCCGGAGGAGATTCCAGCTGACTGGAGGATAGAGAAGACCTATCTCTACCTGTGCTACGTCTGATGGGACACATGGAGAAAAGAAACTGGAAAGGACTAGACAGAATCAACCCCCTCAGTTGCTCCCTTTCCTTTTCCTTTTTTCCGCCCCAATTTTTTGTCTTATTTTGCTTTTGGTTCTGTTCATCCAGGATTTGCTGGCTCCTTCTTTCCCAGCTTCCATTGTCCTTAAGGTTGCAAGGGGTGAGTGGGGCAGGGAGAAATGAGGAAGAGGGAAGAGACCCCATTGGAGTCCCTCCAAGAATCCCCAAAGGAGCCTCCCCCTCAGCCCATCTCAAACCCTGGCCAGCTGTGAAGTTGTCTTGCATGGTGGTCATGCCTCCTGAGGGGGGGGAGGCTCGTGGCTCTGGGGTTTGTCTGGCCCCTGGTGCTCCTTGGGTGGGTGGGGGACGGCTAATGACTCTCTGTCATGGTGTAAGCTGAGATCTAATCAACCCCCTGCACTGCTGCCTTGGTTTCCCAAGGATCCTTGGAATTGTAGCATCATGAGGAGTCTCTGTTGGGTTCCTTTCATTTTGCTCCATTGCTGATGCCTAACACACCCATGCTCCTCCTGGAAGTGACATCGCCAGCAGGATGCAGTTTTCCAAACATGCATCCTGCCAATTCCCCAAATTTTCACACACACACACACCATCCTCACTGGTTCCTTTGAGAGGTGACCTAGCTGCCAACTTCAAGGACATATTGGGCGAGATGGAACTGTTAGGGAGAAGAACAGCCAGGGAGTTCTGTGATGCCACAACTACGGGGAAGGTACCAGCTGCCTTGGGAAATCCTAGATCCCATCTGGCAGTTGCTTGAGAAGAACTAGGAAGTGCAGAGGGTCTCCTGGGGGTCTGCTACAGGAGAGCATTAGAACCCACAGCATGATTAGAACTGACTACATTTTGGCCTTGGCAGCTCAAGTGTTGGGGATGGCTGCCTCAAAGAACGTGACCCTGGATGTGCTCAGAATTGGCCTCCAGTTATTCCCTGGGAGCGGCGATCCTTTCTTCTGACCAAAGACCATTCTATGCATTTATTTTTATTTATTTATTTTTTAAGCAAGAGGGGAGGGAGGGATGAGGAGGAGAGAGGCAGCGTAAGTTTGCACATTTGCTAGCTTGGACGGCCAGCCGTTTCTGAGCAGAGGAGAAAGCCAAATGACAAGGCTTAAGGGAAGCCCAGCAGTTGCTGGAGAGGCCCCGATCCTACCTGCCAAGGCTTTGGGGAGCTCTGGAAAGCCCCCGTTCTCCAGCCCTTCCCCACTGACTTCCATGGGGGTGAAAGGGCTGTGCTTTCTCCTAGTCAACAGCCTCAGTCACACTCCCTCCTCTGTAGATCCACAAGACAAAGTCCATGGAAGTCTCAGCTCCACTCACATGAAGCTGGAGAGAACCTGCCATCAGTGGATGGAAACCAACCCAGCCGTTGCTTCATTTGTTCATGCAGATGGGCTTTCTGAAGAGTCTTACCTCCTGTACCTGATCACGGAACCCCGGTTTTAGGTGTGTCAAGGCTGCAATGCAAAGCAGGGGGGGGGAACTCCTCACAGTCTTGACCTTTGCCCACGGAGCAGCCTTCTTGGCCCATGGAGCTCTCCAAGGATCAATTTGGATCTTTCTTCTGCCCAGGACTGATGTCCTGATCTCTGCCTAGCAAATGTGGGGATGGGTGGCTAAAGAGGCAGGGCTGCTTTGGCCTCGTACTTTTTCTGTTCTTTGTGCATCACCAACAGCCAGAGAAATGGGTTGAGTAGGTCTGACCCAAAGTTGAGAGTCCCTTGAAACACTGCTTGCTCCTCTCAGAAGACCAATTCCAAGAGGTAGAGCAGCTAATGCTGTCTCTGTGCACGTGTGTCTCCTGACAGCCACCTGGGCTTCTCTGAGAGGCAAGAGAGACTTTTGCACTGAGTGGCCCCCTTGCAGCCATCAGCAAATCTTCACGTCCCCAATATTTTCTTCTGGGGAGGCTCCTCCGTTTCCACTTTGCACATAACAACATTGCCAAGAGGACGGGAGAGTCCTTATATAGGCCTATCTCTTGGGGGGGGGGGTCTCCTCTGAGACTCTCTTCCAGCTCATCCTTCTTTCTGCTCCAGGGAAGTTGTGCCCCCTGGGACCTTTTCCCTCCCCTCCAAAACCTTAGATTAGGGGCAGCTTCCAGGGCTTTTCCCAGAATAGCCACCAAATTGCAATTGGGCAGAAGGAAGGAAGGAATGCAGGTCTGGAAGAACTGTTAAGTGGACTTCATGTCCTTGATTTAAGTGCAATCGGAATTCAATCCAGTTTAAATTTTTACTTGTTCCCCTCCCTCAATGTCCTTGTCCTGGGATGCCCCTTCTGGAGGGCCACCTTAGCTTGAAAAGGTGGCCTTCTGCCCACTTGAAAGACTGGCAAGCAGCTTGAGGCTTCCTTGCTTCTCCATCTTGGCCCTTGGTGCCTTCAACCAAGGGGAGAGGTTCTTTCTCTTCTCTCTTGCACCCCCCCCCCATTGAACACCATCCCCTCAAGACTTCTCTGAGGCCCTTCCTGCCCAAGACTTCTGTCGCCATCGCAACTGAGAGGGGAATGCAATGCCCTCTGTCTTTGTGGTGTCTTTGCTTTCCTTTTGATGATTTTCTCATTTTCGCACATTGTACTTGAAATGACCTCGGTTTCTTGTGACCTCATGAGCTTCTTTGAGTTGGCTTTCTGTGGGGAGGGGGGACGAGTTGGGGGTTCATTGCTGAAAAGACCACCAGGCAGGGCTGGAAAGGAGGGTTTGCACCCGTGTCCAAACACAGCCGACAAAACCCCACGGACGGTGTTCTCTACGCCAGCCTTCTTGTTTCGTGTTGATTGTGCATTATTATTATTGTTACTACCAAAATTGGTGTTTGTTTTTATGATCTAGCCTGACGGGGTTCAGAGATGATCTTGAAAAGCTACCTCTTTTTCAGTTGATGTTGTTATTGTTAAGTTTCTTGTTCCTATTTTGTTTTTGTTTTTTTGTTTGGCAGTTACAGAAGCACAGTTTTTGCAATATTTGTGGGTGGGTGGCTTTGTAAATTTCACTTCAGTTCTCATCTCATGCTTTATATTTGCAATTGTACATTTTATGTTGTAATTTAGCTGCTTTTTATATATGGGGGAATGTTTAGCAAAGAAAGTGTAGATCATTGTTTCTCAACCTTGACCACTTTAAGCGGTGTGGACTCCAATTCCCAGAATTCCCCAGCCAGCTATACTGGCTAGGGAATTCTGGGAACTGAAGTTTAAAGTGGTCAAAGTTGAGAAACACTGATGTAGATGGAAGAATTTTAAGCGATATCTCTCTATCCTGTTGCTCAACACACTTACCCTCCTAAATCTGACCCTAATCCTTCCTCAATGTTGGAAAATACTGAAGGCCTTAAAAATGGAGTGGTGGGAGAGAGAGAAAAAAATGATAAAAGAGACCCTATGTCCTTGTAAGTCCAGAGAGTTGAAAATTTAGTGAAACCTTTAGCAATTTGGTAAAAGAAAAAAAAACAGTTAAACTTGAATATGTGAATAGTTAAGTAGAGTTTTGTTTATAATGTGAAAAAAGAGAGAAATGACAGCATTTAAAGCAGATCGTTTAATGAACAATATGCAGTAAATGTACCAGTGTGACATTTGTCAGAAGCAGCAACTGCAACCGGCCCTTCTGATGTAGCCCCAACCTTGTTGGGTTTTGTCTTTTTAAAATGGGGAGGGGGAGGTGTTTGGGGAGTCTTCCTCCCTTCCCCACCCCTCACCAAGCTAAAAGTGTTGGACTGATAAATTATTTCAAAAGTGTAATATTTTTGTAACCTTTGTTAGTCTCTGTGTCAAGCAGGATGTCGTCCCTCTTCTTCTCTTTGTAAATGTGAACAGGAACATGTTTGCGTCTGCGGGTCTGCGTTGGAAACCTAGTATTAAATAATAAATCATGCAGTATTGTTGTAAAGAGTTTGCCATATCAGATGGTACTCAACTTGGGCGGGGAATCCTGGCTTGCAAAGCTCACTTGGGAAGGGCACAGGATCCCGGGTTTCTCGGGGGGGGGGACCCTTGACAGGCCATGGAGAGGATGGGCTGGAGCGGGGTGGGAAGGGCACTCAACTGGTTTCGGGGAGCAGATGGTGGGCTGGCCTCTTGCCACTTGCCTCCCTCCCTTCCTCTCTCTTAATGATGGTTGGCTTTCTGCCATTGCATGGCATGATCCAAGCTGGCTTGACCGGTGACAGGGTGGCAAAGCGCTTGGTGCCACAGGAGGGAGGAAGAGAGTGTGCCACCCAACGGGACCTGCACAAACCAGATGGAATTCGGGGGCTTCAAAGGGCTAGATCCCCATGGCTTCTCTGGGGTCCCCTCCTCTCTTCCTTGGCCCCTTAACAGCCTGCCGTTCTGGTTCCCTGATCTGAGCGCCTTACCGCGTGTAATCCCCTCCCACCAACCCAGCCCTCCACGTTGTCCCCCGACCCCTTTCGTGGGCTTGATTTGGCTTCCCTTTACAAGTATATATTCCTGGCTGTCTGTGAATGTTGCTTTGGGATTACATTTCAGAAACTGAAAGCAGTACGATTATTGTATACAAACCCTTGCCGGTGTGTGTTTCGTGCGTGTCCGTCCAATGGAGAAATATAACTTTGTGGCTTCTTTGTGGTGGGAAACAAGACCGGGATGGCTTCATAGTACGATCCTCAACACAGCTTTGAAAAAATGGCTTTTTCCTTCTTCTTTTTGTCAATCTTTGTGCCTGAAAAAGAGTGTGTTTGTGTGTGTGTTGATTTCTGCACATTTTTTGGGGGGAAAGGAATAAAATGCTGCAGTGCTTTCTTAATTAATGATTTGGTACCTTGGGGGATCTGGTGGGACTTGCTAGCTAAGGAATGTCATGGTATTCCCCATCTTTATTTTTAGAGGACAAAATCTGGCACCCCTGCAATTCTCAACCCAAGGTCCCCTAGAGCTGGTGGAAGGGGCTCAGGCCACATTGCTCTCCAGTCACCCCATTCTTTGTCCCCCACCCCCACCC